AACCAGAAAACCGTGTGATCTACACATCTATTGTGAGAATTTCATCTCTAAGGTTCATAACGACTCCAACAATCCACTCAATCCCGATTTCTCCATCTACCGTTCATGTGCCACCACCAGAACTATTTTTTCTGCTTAACATCCCGTATACACATTTACCGAAATCCAACAATAACCTATTCGGATTGCATCCTAACTCATTGAAAATCTTCACCGATGATCATTCTTCTATTGCTATATATGTACTTAGACGAAGGTACCTGCACAAGTCACTAAAAACAAAGCGTATATACGTAACAAACATGGTGCTTTTGAAAAAAGAGTTTATAAATTGAATTAAGTACATTTCTGGGTTTTGGAGTAGGCTCAAATTAGATGACATTTTGTTGCTCAATCCTACCGGAAGATTTTACTTCTCTACCCCATGTTGTATTGTCCGCTCCACTCTCACAGTTGCACTCACTCAATGCAACGCGCGACGCTGCTGCACGACAAGAAGAATCTGCGGGAAATATTGAATTTCATATAGTGAGCAACAGTCTGAACCACAGTCAGCCGTCACAAACTTATATCTGGTTGCTTGAATTGCTCAACGTATTTGCCTTACAATTGCCGCGAATGCCAAAGGAGTATATAGCGCGTTTAGTATTCGACCCGTGAGTTTTATCCTAATTCTGCTGTACAACCACATTCAGTAGCATCACTCTATGTTTTCTCAGAAGTTATTTTTTCGCCCATTCTACTGTTTGAAAAATAATTCATTCTGTTTACGGAAAAATCACCAAGTAAATGAAGTGTTGTATGGCTGGTTGATCGTTCCCGTTTTGGTCTGTATCCGTTTTTTCTGTAGGTCTGCCTTTGGTTTTTGCGACAATGTTTTCGTACTCATGAGTAGTCTGATCGGTTTCTCTTAAATATGATGCACGTTTACCATAATTCTACATTTGTTTTGTACCCCGTAACCTCTAAAATGGGCTTTGCTTTTCCCCTAGAAAACATAAAAACTTGGTTCTTCTGAAGGTGACAGAGGGCGGAGAGAAACATGCGATCGGTGGAATATCGTTTCGCATGTTCCCATCTCAGGGCTTTACAGAAATCGTGTTTTGCGCTGTGATTTTCAACGAACAAGTTAAGGTGAGGCCAATATCCACTTACGACCCGCAAACCGGGGCATTTCATGTGATTCTCTTTTATTGTTATGCGGTCATTTTTATGAGCATCACTAGGACGAAGAGCGGTCCAAAAATGCACTTGTATGTAATTACTTTCTCTTACAAAACATAGTGGTCCTAGAATAGCTCATTATGGGAGAAATCTTTTGTTCACATCTTAAACATTTGGACCTCTCACAATAGTCGCGGTTCAGATCATGCGGAAATACCAATGGAACTCTGTGATGAAAGTTTGTCCAATTTGAAGTTGAAACACTACCTGATATATGAAAAATTCCTTGGCTAAATAAACTTACCACTTAGTTGAAAAAGTACTACCCAACACGCGTTCAATTTCTAATAGGTCCTTTCAGTTATTTTCAGGACCAATGAGGTTAATATGTGTCATGCGACGACATATAATTTACACTTTCGATATTTCTGCATCCGTTGCCAACCTGATGTGATTACGTGACAATTCTGTGATGCTTTTCCTTGGGTAGCCGTACAATATTGTACCCATAAACAAATCGTGGGTTGATTTCATTTGTCTAGATGTGATTGTACGGTGGCTTGTTTTGACATACAGTCTAATAGAGACCAATGTGAAAAGATAAGAGAATAGTTATCATGAAGATCACTAGTGCTGGTGAATATTCTTTCGGATCTCTCACCGATCAACGTTTAATGTCTCACTCCATTTCATTAATTGTGATCAATCTGTGCTTCGAATAGATTTATCACCTAATAATGCTTCTAATTCCTAGTTGCATCATTGAGTTCATTGAGTGTACAATCATCGTTATCTAGGCTTTAAAACGCAACTGTTGTATTTAGGTGGTCTATGTCGAAAGTGCTCGTTTGGAATTGTAATCTTACCTAGCTATTGTCAACCAATTCTGTTGTGGGATATATTTCCTCTGACTTTACTCTCTCATGGACACTATCGGTTAAAAACCTATCCACCGAAGCAAATCACGCCACAATTTGTCTAATCGCCTAGAAACATGTTCACCATTACCAAAAACAAGCGAAATTTATCCAGGTACCTTGTGAACATGTAGCCAATACGCAACATGTATTAAAGCGAAACCTTATTGTTGTGTAGTAGGCCTAGCTTTTCAGCAAAACCAGCGCACTTTACGTTACATACTGCCGACGGTATCATGACCACTCTAATGAACTTCGGAGCCTCTATATTGTGATACAGTATACTCGAGGATTCTATGGGCGTGGTCACGCGGCAGATTTGCAGTGGAGCCATCGTTTGGGCATTCATTTGTTGTTGAACTCAATGCTTCAAAGATCGTTTTATTGAAATAAAAAAGCACTTTCGGTTTGACGACGAATATGATCAAACAAAACGAAGCGATTGGATCCATTGAAAGAAATAGGTACATTTTCTGAGATTTCATTGTAAACATGAAACCGCTGCTTGTTTTTACTCGGATTAAAAATCCGTTAACTTACTTCACGGTCTTCATAGAGGCTTCGTCGAGAAACGCTAGCGACCAATGTAAAATCGAGTTCAAATAACCTTTGACCGATCTGTATGGTAGGAATATTCCAGATTTGCTTGTGGTAAAAACAGTAGCACCCATTTATAGTTCCACCCTAATGTCGCGCAAAATTCAGCCCAAACTTTACGATCATATTTTAAACGTCAGCAACTTGATAATTGAAAAGCCTGAATAAAATGCCTACAGTTTCCGTTTTTATCTCCGATTTAGGTTCTCATTTCGGCGTCGCTATGCATTGCATGTCGCACAGCTCCTCAATCTTTGGGAGGTCGACGATTTGCGGCAGTGCGTGACTATAGTTACTCCGAGTTTTTCGCCTAACCTCGATATTTCTTATCCGATCGTTCCCTAACACACATGAAGTGAGGTATAGACGACGACGTTCGCACTTCGATAATCAGCATGTATCTATTACCCATTACGACCAAGCCTGTCTGTAAATCCCATGAGCAATTATCACCCATTCGCAGCCGATAAAAAAATGGATGGCCCATAGGAATTTCTACTGGCGAGATTTCAAAAGATGTCTAACTCCCGACACTTGAGATAACTATATCATTTCGCCAAGCCTTTGAAGTCACAGTTGAACAAGAGGACAAACTTAGTTACCAAGAAAACTTGGTTCATTAATTTATTTCCAATGTAAAGCTCTTATATAAGCAAATTAATGTCATCAAAGCACAGAGGCATGCGATACACGTTTCCGCCATTAAGTCTGAAACAGCCGGATTTTTAAATGTACGGTTTCATGAAGTGTTCGTGTAGGTTACAGTCGAATTACCATTTCTACATCTTCTGTCATGTGTCGTACACCCTCAATTGACTGCTGTCACATTCAAGACTGAAACGGTCGAAACTAACCTGTTGGCGTTGCCTAGGCATTCATCCTCGGGGGAGGACAACATCCAAATCTGTCTTCCATGAAAAAGCACATATATGAAATTATCGCTAATTGGTACCAAAGTATTTTCGACAAGTCGATGATTCCTCAGTCTAGGAAAAACGACGTCATTTCATCCATTTGCTAAGGTGGCTGCCGAAGGGATCTCGTAAACTACCGCCCAGTTACACTTCTTCCTGTTCTGTCAAAAGTAATTGAGTCAATTGTTGCTGACTCTCTGAGGGATCATTTCGAGAAGTATAACATCCTATCGTCCTCTCAAGACTGGTTTCGAGGAAAACGGTTGTACACTGCAAATATGTTACTTGTACTAAATGAGTGATCAGGAACAGGGAGGTAGTGGACAAAGTTGACCTGTACTTCTCCAAAGTTTTCGATTGAGTAAACCATCAAATACTGCACCATAATGAATATATGTGAGGACTGCTCCCTGGCTGGATTGAATTTCGTCGACAACGTAAAACATCAGTTCGGAATCATCGTTCGACATTGAGACCAATTGACGTTGCCCCATGAGGTTCCTTTATCTCCTTCTTATCTTAGCATTCGTAAATGCTCTAGCAGATATTCTTGGGGTGCAAGCACTGCTGTTCGTTAACGACAAAATCTTGGAGATTTTAAACCACAGGAAGCACCCGGCACAGTTTACCGATGTTCTATCAATAAGGACACCGAATTTAACGTGGAGACATGTTAGGTTGTATCATTGCTTCTCAGGGGTTGGTTTCCATAAGTGCATGAAAAACAGCCATTTCTGGATCTGAGGTATGTTCGTGGGGATCTCGAATGTTCCGCACATTGCGTTAGAGCGTCATCAGTGACCCTAACGCAATTTGAATACTCAGGCATGTTTTAGGACCGTTAAAAACAGACCGATTCCATCGGTTGCTGTCAGCAGACATTACACCGCACACCGAGTGAGACATTCACGTTTGGAATCCGTGGCTAAGTCGTTATAAAATAGTGCTGGAACGTTTGCAGAGAAAAACAACCAAAACGTTCAGCGGGTTGCGATCCAGCACCCATGACTGAACGTGATTTGTTGTTCCATTATTTATTTGCAAATACGGCGTCAAAATCACCATGGGTTAAACGCGAAATATCGAAACAGAAATGGGAGGAAGTAAAATTAAGGAATAAAAACTTGTTTGCTGCACGTCATTTTGACCTTTTTGTTTTGCTTTTGGGATCTCATGCAGAAAAGGGTGCATTCATGCGACTGAATTGGGTTCGATGCCATCCATATCTTGCGGTATCTTCAGTCAAAGATAATCAGAATCTTTGGGGCCCTAGCCGGGAAGCTTCAACGGAAGCCAGCTCCGAGCGCAACCTCTTTAACCCTCTACGCCACGTCATAGGTTGCCTACCTCACGGTTTCTTCCAGCCCGGACCAATGTCTGTTAATAGTGCACGGTATGGCTGACGTTCAGGCATTCGTAGGAAGTGCCACAGCCACCTAAGACGGTGCAGTGAAATGGTTTCTCTCAGTGGAAGATTATCCAGCCCTACCATATGTCATCTGACCACATCATTATTCACGAGATGTTCCCACCACACGCGAGCGGTGCTACGCAGACGATGGATAGTCGTGGGACATGATCCGCTCAGAGAGGCCAGGTTTCGCTGCAGATTAGCAAACGCTGATCTAGATTTGATTACAACATCTACGGCACATATAGCATCCAAATCCAGTGCGTACATATGTAACTCGATTCAATAAGTCTCAACTTTGTAATTTACCCATAATACAAATTCGAACTTATACTTACCTCTGTACTTGATTGGGACATGTGTTGTGCATATCACCCAGTAGGTTGCCATGGCGGACGATGTTTGCCGTGGCAGGACGTGGTTGGAAATAGGTCAACGGCTGTCATACAAGGACGTTGCATGAAGGTATTGTTGCAACGTACGGATCCGATCAGCAATATGCGTAGACCGTGAGCTGAAGGAACCGTGCGACCCAGCGGTGGGGTAACGATCACGTAGTGCCCGACTGCGGTACCCGAAAGTGACACGGCTAACAATAGTAACGATAGTAGCGACACGCAGACCCGTACTATCCCCGGAACCCGACCAGGAAGAAAGAGGAAGACAGGCCTTCAGGCGAGGTTGTATATTTGGCTCGACCCAAAAAGGCGATGAGACTGGACGGCTCAACCGTTTACATACGAATTGGGGACCGGCCATAAATTAGCTCGAAAGTGATGAGTCAGAGAAAAACGGACCAATCAGGGACAGGATGGCTGGTGGTGCGGAATGAATCTTTCTTGGCGCGAAAATTCGGAAATTTAAATTTTATAAAAAATAATTGAAAAAATGGGAAAAAAGGGAGGAGTCAATTTTAGAGTGGAAAATAAGGTCTATACATCAGGTATAGAACACCAACCAAGAGACTGGATCACATAGGTCCCGTTAGGCTTCCTGGACGGGGACGATGAGATCATCGTAACCGGTGGTTAGAGACTCTGAGTGGTGTGAAAAAGTGTCACAAGCAGTGGTACTGGTGCATCTACTCAATATTATTGTAACCCCAGTTTAAATGACTCCTTGACTTTGTTCCCAACGTTTATTCTTCTGCTCTTTTATGCGAATGGGCAGCAAAAACCGGTGCACGAAAGTGCATGGCTAGTGGTTGTAAAAACTGAAACTTAAATAGCGGCACTAACTAAACTACTCAAGCATAAAATCGACCCTTCACAAACAACCAAATATCTTGGTGGCGTCAGAGGTGTCTCAAGTTGGCAAACCTCTTGTATGTCTGCCGATCATTCATCCGAGATTCGTTTGCCAGGAGAGTTGCAACTACCGAGGTAACTGAATTGTATATTCAAGGTGCCGAACAAATGCAGTAGCCCTCAAAACACACTTAAAGCTTACATTTTGCTTACCTACTCAGCAGTGCACTTTCGTCTGCGTACTCCAAATCAAACAACTTGATCGATGGGCAGAACACTTTAAGACCCATTTCAGCTGACCATCGTCAGCACGAGACCTCCCTACACCCGATCCAACTGTGCAAATACTGCCAGTTAACATCAGTCCTCAATCTGAAATAGAGGTTACCCGAGAAATAAGCTATCTCAAAAGGTATAATGTTTCCGGCCCCGACGGGCTATCCCCATCGGTTTTTAAGGATGGAGGCCTAGCCTTGGTTTTGGAGTTGATAAAACTCCTGGGTTCAGTGTGGGAAAAGGGAAAGGTTCCAATTGAATGGTGTGAATCGGTGATCATACCGATTTACAAGAAGGGCGACAGGTCCTCTTGTGAAAACCACAGAGGAATTAGTTTAATTACCATTGCATCTAAATTTCTCGCCGGGATCATACTCCGTCGATTGTCTGCCGCTCGTGAAGAGTGCACACGTGAGAACCGGGCTGGTTTTAGACCTGGTCGAGGTTGTATCGACCACATCTTCACACTTCGTAAAATCCTAGAACACAGACACCCTTTTGTAGACCCACCATCTCTGTCTTCCTAGATCTGAAAGCGGCTTTCGACTCAGTCGACCGCTCTAAACTCTGGCGCTACTTTTCCCTGAAGAGTATGCCCGAGAAGTTTATTTCAATTGTACAATCCCTCTATAATAATAGCCTAGTCTGAGCTTACAGCACTTTTTCACCCGAGTTCACCACGGAAAGTGGTGTTCGACAGGCTTGCCCTTTCTCTCTCCGTTTCTATTTAATTTTGTCATAGATTTAATTCTTGAAACAGCCCTATCCTCGTGCAGGGATAGCGGTATCGATTTACTCCCGGGTGGCAGACTGTCTGATCTAGAGTATGCAGACGATATTGTACTGCCAAGCGAAGATCGAGGTAAGCTGCAAGCCTTTCTGGATAGTTTGAGTGCTAGTGTAGCGATTTTCGGCATGCGTTTTGCACCTTCAAAGTGTAAAATGCTGCTGCAAGATTAGGTTGGCTCAGTCCCCAACCTTATCCTGACCGGGGAAGTTGTAGAGAAAGTAGATAAGTATTTCTACCTGGGCAGCTATATCTCACCTAGTGGACGCATCACAGATTAAGTGTCGGCTCGCATATAGAAAGCTCGTTTGGCACTTGCCAACTTGAGACACCTGTGGCACCGTCGCGACATCCGGCTGTCTGTGAAGGGTCGAGTATATGCTGCAGCAGTTCGGCCAGTTCTGCTCTACGGTGCAGAGACTTGGCCATTACGGATATAGGATAAAAATAGACTGTTGGTATTCGAACACCGTTGTCTACGTCGCATTGCATTAGTCTGGCGGGGTAACCGGACGAGCAATGCTGAAGTTAGAAGTTAGGCGTAGAGTTTTAGGTAATCGCGGTCGTCCACTGGAACAGGTAGTCGACCTCCATAGATTACGCTGGTTGGGACATGTGCTACGCATGTCACCAGATAGGTTGCCACGGCGAGCGATGCTTGGCGAGGCAGGTAGCGGTTGGAAAAAGATGGAGGGTAGTCAAACTAAGACCTGGCATGTGGGTATGAAAACTCTGACCAGGAGACTAGGTCACATAAGTCCTGTTAGGCTCCCTGGATGGGGACCCAGAGATCATGGTCACCGGTGCCTAGAGATACTGAGCGATATGGCTGAGTGTCGCAAACAGTGGCGCTCATGCATGTACTTATTATTCTTGTAACTTCAGTCTATGAAAATGTGCTACTTTCCGCTTAAATCTACTCTCAACATTCTAATGATCATTCTGCTCTTTTATCCAATGGGCAACCAAAATCGGCCCAGGAAAGTGCATGGTTAATGGTTGTAAGAACCGAACTGATATAATTGAAACCCTTTCGGATCAGGTGAAGCAATATCTCGTCAAAACAGTAACGGTTCCCACAGGCGATTCGTGTGTCTGTGACCACTACGCAACTATCTGTTTCTCCCCATTGTGATCAATCTACACTAGTTTGATGACTTTTGTGGAACAATTTTCAAATGCTTGAACAATACTGTTGGAGTGGAAGTTTATAACAATCGATATCATCGAATATACCTGATAGTGTGTCAGAGTTTGATTTGCATTGCCGATGTTTTTTTTCATTTATAGAATTGAAGCATGCTAATCTTTGAATTTTCTCCCTTTTCCCTGTAGGGTTACGGTACACAAATGATGAACCATCTAAAAGATTATCACATCCAACATGGAGTTTTTCATTTTCTCACCTACGCCGATGCCTTCGCCACGGGTTATTTCCGTAAACAGGGGTTTTCACGTGAGATCCGACTGGCACGTCAAGCATATCAAGGATATATCAAAGAATACGAGGGCGCCACACTGATGGGCTGTGAGCTCTATCCGAATATTGTATACACAGAGTTTTCTGAAATGGTCGGACGTCAAAAGGCGGTTAGTTGTCCTCCGTCTGTTTCTATTAAAAGCCATTCATGGTAATCGCTCCTCCATAGCCATTGTTTCAACCGAACATCGTTATTGTGGTAAACCTCATTTTCAACCGTACCGTTATTCTTGCTTTCGTTCTGATCTGAGTCACGTGGTTTCGTGCTCATCGAGTTTTGGTTCTTCATGAAAAAATGATCGAACAACCGTGGAGGCACTTTGTGGCTATTTCATCATGCTTAGGAACCATCAGTAGCACATACTCACCGTACCCGTTGGGATTCAAACCAAAGCATGAGGAGTTGTTTGCCCAATTCACTGTCAACTTAGTCTCTTCCAGCTGGTTCTCAGCAGCCTGCTTCTCATTACCAGCACTTCCAAATGTGTTAAATCGTACGTGATATATACATATACATATATATATATATATATATATTTTCAGTTTGAACAACCATTAACCATGCGCTTTCGTGCGCCGGTTTTGGTTGCTGTCTT